GGTCAGTGAAAGAGAGGGCAGACCCTCAACTAGATGGACTGACATGGTGACTTATAAACCAGACTCTAGCATGGTGGAGGCCGAGGGATGGCACAGGGCAGGGCACGGTTCTGATCTGTTGTTCACAGGATTGCTGTGAGTCTTGGTCTACTCAACAGCACCAAGAGCTGTACTTCCAGGAAGGCATCTTGGTGGCAGCACAGTGTGTCACACGGTGAGTTGCTAACTGAAACATCAGCAGTTCGAATCCAAGAGAAGACCATGAAGTGGCCTGAAGATTTACAGCCTCAGGAATCTGACAGAGGGTGACCAGGAGTCAAAAGTGACTCAAGGAGGCAATTTTTGAGAATTCTCTTTGTCCTCCCAGATCTGGAATAAAGTGCTTTGGATATTAGGGGGCAGGGGTGACTCCCATGAGAAAGAAGGAAGAGCTCAAGAAGCCTCAGTAGCAGAGGGGTTAAGTGTGCTTGTTTAATAACTTTAAAAAGTCAGTGGTTTGAATCCAACATACACTCTGTAGGAGAAAGATGTGGACATATGCTCCTATAAACATCTGTAGCCTTGGCAACCCCAAGAACCCTAAATTCTACTTGGTCCCCTAGGGTTGGGATGAGTCAGAGTTGATCTGACGGCAGGGTGTGGATTCTCTAAACCTCAGTTTCCTCACCCATTAAAAAACAACATTCAAGCCCATCTCTACAAAATGCCTTGTTCTGTGTGAATGGCAGTATCTGGGCTGGTGCAAAAATCTTTGTTCTTACTGAAGCACATGGTATATGCTCTCTCCTCCAGGGCCCAGCTGCTCACCAACCAGCTGACTCCCCCTCTTCCCTGGAGACACAGAGCACCTCTGAGGAGGGGGCCACAGAGACTGAAGGTTGCCCAGAATGTAGGCGTGAAGAGAGAGATCTGGAGGGTGGGTGATACGTGGACACAGTGGAGAGACATCTGTGAGGTTCGACCAGATCCTTTGATGTTGCCAAGGAAATGGGGCACAGAGCTTCTACATCTCCTGGCTCTATCTCAGGAACAGCCCCTATCCCCCAGCCCTGCCCGGCTAATAATAATAGTGACTCTGCTGTAGCGAGTGCTTGTTGTAACGCCAGACATTCCGCTAAGAGCTACACAAACCTTAGCATGTTAATCAGCATCGTACTCTATGAGGCAAAGAATTTAGGAAACTGAGCTCAGGGAGGTTAAGCCACTTGCTGAAAAGCCAGTCTGATGAGCCCACGCACCCACAAATTTTCCACACCTGACCCCTTCATCCTGAACCAACTGCCACTCTGCTGGTTTACTGCTAAAGAGGCGGGCTATATGACCCAGCTATTCCATTGTTTGGAATATACCCCAAGAAAAGAGGAACTGAGGCTCAAACAGAAACTTGTACACCAATGGTCATAGCAAAGTCATTCACCATCGCAAGAACATGGAAACAGCCCAGATGTCCAACCACAAACGAATGCATTGAGAAGTTGTGGTACATTCATATAATGGAATATACTATGCAGCACACAGGAGCAATGATTTTGTAAATTGCTACTGACATCCACTTCCTAAACAACATGCCTCTGAAAACTCTATGAACTTTGATAAATGTCACTAGTTATAGAAAGACTTCAGACCTTTAGTTCATAGAGTTGCCATGAGTCATGGTTGACTCGATGGCAACCAACGACAACAATACAACCCAACTTGGGAGGGACTGAAGAACATTATGCTAAGTGAACAAACTCAGGCCTACAAGGACAAATACTGTATTAAACCATTATTGCAGAATGAGTATGAGGATCCAAGCCTGGCGGGAGGGTGGAAACAGAGGGGTGAGGATGGGGGGTTGTTAATCATAGGGCTGCACAATCTCGGTGAGTGGGGGTTGAAGGAAAGGAGAAGGATCTTTTGTAAAAAACAATGCATTCAAACTTTGTAAATAAATCAGTATTTTTTTAAAATGTCATTACTAAATAAATTAAATAAATGAAGAGCAGGGCTGCCATCTCAAAGGTACATGGTTCGCATCTTCCAGCTGCTCTGCAGGAGAAAGATGGGCAATCTCCTCTCATGAGATTCATGGCCTCTAGGAACCTGCTGGAGGGTCAGCTATGAGTTGGTTCCGACACGACGGTGAACAACAACAAACAACTGAACGATACCTCACAGTAACCCTAAGAATAAAGTACAACTGCCCTATTGGGCACGCAAGGTTCTACATCTTTATAGGACTGGACAGCCTCATCTTTCTCCTGAGGCCTGGCCAGTGGGTTTGAATCCCCACCAGTTTGCTTAGAAGCTGGACACTCTGACCATTGCACCACCAGGGCCTCTACTAGGGGCTGACAAAGGCAGTGAACTGAATATGTCATAGATGGAGTGGCAGAGTGTACATGCGGCTATTCTGCTTGTGAATGCTGTTGTTGTTGTTATTGTATACCACTGAGGCAGATCCGGACCCTCTTCCAATTTTTCAAAGGCTGAAAATTGCACAGTAGGAGACGGCCCATCTTCCTTGCATGGAGAAGCTGGTGGATTCGAACCACACACCTTTGGGTTAGCAGTGCAATCCCTCACCACCGCAGATGAGATGGACTGACACAGTAACATGGGTAACGAGTCAGGATAGAGCAGGGGTCAGAGCTGTTGTGCATAGAGTCACTATGAGTTGCAGTTAACTCTATGACACATAACAAGAAGACATCAAAGCTCTCTGCTTACGAATGTAGCCACTGTAAAATATTTTATGTTTGTGGAAATAGTGTAAAAAAAATTAAAAATCTCTTCATAAAGACTCTCCTCCTACCCCAGCAATAACTACGCTAGAATTAGTATAGATTTCCCCAGAATTCTTGTCTATGGATATACTTTTTTCCCCCACCAAAGTAAGTACATATATACCTGTCATGCATCATGAGTTGCTTCCCATTTATCAGCTTACATCTTTAAGAAGCAATTTACTCCCATGAACAAAAATAAAACAAACTCCTCAAACTTCTTACCATGAAGTCCAATTGGACTCATAGCTGACCCTTTGATGGGGTTTCCAAGGCCGGAAACTGCACAGGAGGAAACTGCTCATCTTTCTCTCTCTCACAGAGCGGCTGGTGGATTTGAACCACCAGAGAGGTGAACTTTGGGGTTAGCAGCACAGTTCCCTGTGGACTGGGCCACCAGACCTCCCTTCTCGCGTGAATATTATGTTATGTAATACTCTTGTACCAGCAGTCAGGAAATCAAAAGACTAATTGCACTGGGAACATCTCCTGTCAGGGACTGCTCCAGAGTACTGAAGAGCAACAATGTCAGACTGGAATCTAAGGTGCACCTGATACAGGCCATAGTCTTCACAATTACTTTTTATGTCTCAGAAAGCTGGACAATGATGAAGAGATTAATGCCTTTGAGCTGTAGTGCTGGAAAAGAGTACTGATACCATGGACTGCTAAGAGAACAAAAAGGTTCATCCTAGAGAGGGTGAAACCAGGCTGCTCCCTGGAGTCAAGGATACTGAAGCTTCATCTGACATACTTAAGGCATGCTGCAAGGAAGGACCAGTCCTTGGAGAAGAACAACATGCTTGGAAGTGTGGAAGGACAGAGCAAGAGAGGAAGACCCTCGATGAGATGGATTGATTCAGTGACTGGAGTAATCAGGGTAGGTGTGTCAGAGACAGTAAGGTTGGTTCAGGATAGAGCAGGGTTCAGAGCTGTTGTACATAGGTCGCTATGAGTTGCAAGCAACTCAACAGCACATAACGACAACAACAAACCTTCAAGTTGTAACCAACTCACAGCTTACTCTCCAGAGGATTTTTGAAGGCCATAAATCACATGGGAGGAGATTACCCCTCTTTCTCTCGAAGACCAGACAACAGATTTCAACCAACTGCCTTTGGTTTGGCAATGCAACTTCTTACCACTAAACCACCAGACCTCATGAATAGGTATGTGGTATGAGGTATGGCACTGTATGAATGGATCATTAATTACATTTTACAAGACCTTTATTATAGCCAGTTGGCTTCCTGCCAGGTGTCCGAGCTGCTAGGAACACCCTGGTACCTGAGTCTTTGTATATTTGTATACATGTTGCTGTGAAGAAAAGTTCCACAAGCAGAATTGCTTGAGTCAAAGGGAATTAAAATAGATATTATAAAGTCAGGGAGGTTAAAGCATTGTTTCACATGTCTGTTGACCATCCATACGCCTCTGGTACAAACTGCTATTCAGATTCTATGTTCATTTTGTGGTCAACCTGGAGCTGTGTAAGCAACACTCACAGGGGTCAGAGGTCGGCTTTTTCGGCACTGTGATCCACACGCCGCCACCTGGACAATGTCTCATCTCTGGCCTCTCACTCAGTGAGTTAAGTCATAGTTGATGCATCAGTGGGGAGCTTCAGAGGCTGTAAATCTCATGAGAGGAAATTGCCTATCTTTCTCCCAAGGAACCTCTGGTGCATTTGAACCACCAGATAGGCACCACCTTTGGATTTATAATGCAACTCCCTACAGACTGGGCCACCAGAGCGGCCCTTCTGATCTGACATAAAGATATAGATAGATAGATAGATAGATAGATAGATAGATAGATAGATAGATAGAGAGAGAGAGAGATTAGAGATAGAGATAGAGATAGAGATATCCCCTCAAAGTGTCTGACTATAGTTATAGACTCAAATGAGACCTGCACCAGACAGTAAAATTCCTGTGATCACAGAGAACTGGGAGTGACCCATATACATGAGCCTCAGGTCAGGGTTCCACCCCGCGCTGTCCATCAGCTGGGTCATCTGAGCGAGTCATTTCAGCCTATGTTCCCTCCTCATGCACGGAGAGGGCAGAACCCGTGAAGCACCATATCTAGTTCCAACAGCCTGCAAATCGTGCCACGGTCTGAACCACATTGTGCCGCTAACCCGTAGTCTGAGAATCGAAAGGAGGAAGGAGGCCCTCACAGGCAGGGTCAGGGCAGAGGCTTCGAAGCACAGCCAAGATAGACACTTACAAATGCCAGGCTCGCTGCAGGTCAGAGTCCCGTCCTCGGGCACCATGTGGGCGTTGTACCGCTGGTTGGCCAGCACCTCCGTCATCTCACCCGCTCGCTGCCGCTCCCCCATCTTGGTCTTCAGGAAAATCCCAAAGCCGATGTCCGCCCCGTCCGAGGCAAACTGCCACCTGTGGGGTTCACCAGCCCATTTAGACATAAGCCTTCCTGGCAGGCCCTCTCGAGGGTCCTGGCACCAGGCCCTGTCCCGCCCTGGCCCACGGGAGTGCGGGAGGCAGAGGCGGCCATACCTGAGGACACAGCCGGGGAAGAGGATCTCATACTCCACTTGGTGGGAGGAGCCCCGGGCAATCTGCACGCTGTGCTCATACTGCTGTTTCACTTGGTCTCGCACATAGAAGGTCTTGGGGATGTCACCCCCATAATTGATCTAGAAGCAAAGTGTGAAATAGGCCAGAGTAAAGGAAGGTTTGAGCCAAGCGTCTCTGTTTGTCTCCAGCCCCGGGAGCCCCATACCTTGGATTTGCACTTGGGGTTCCCATCAGGGTCAGTCATGGTGCCCCCATACTCCACAGGCAGCTGGTCAGGGCTGATGTGTTTCAGTAAAACCTCCTTCCAGTTCGCTGGCAGGACGGAGAAGGAAGGAGAGAGTCATGTCACCAGAAGGCAAGAGTTCACAGACCTGGCAGTTCACACGAAGAGACAGGAGAAAACACACACACACCCCAGAGGTACATGACGCATGCGTAGTACTGTAGGACCCATGGGGTCACCCAGCCCTGGACCATGAATCAGGTGCTCTGCCTTCCTGCCCGCATTGTCTCGGACCAGCTGTGAAACCTTAGGAAAATCACATCATTCTGAGTCTAAAAAGTCCTGATCCATAGGGTTACCTGAAAGAAGAACCAAGTTCTCAAGGTTAAGTTATTGTTGCTACTGTTGTTAGATATCCTCAAGTCGGAACCAACCCATAGCTAGCCCTCCGGTAGGTTTTCAGAGGCCGTAAATCACACAGGACTAGACTGCTCATCCTTCTCCCAAAGAGCAGCAAATGGATTCGAACCAAGTGCCTTTGGCTTGGCACTGCAACTCCTTACCACTAGCCCACAAGAGCGCACTGGTTCTCCCTAGTTTTTGAGAAGGCTTTGGAAATTGTGAAGTGCCCCACATGTCAGGAGAATTATGCCCAGGAAGGTGGTGCCGAACACGTGAGGTTCAAGTAAGAAAGGACAGGAGGAGAGAGTGACATCCCACAAAGAGGACACACACAGCAGGTGCAGTGGGAAGATGGGGCAGAACCATTATGTCCTGCTCCGGTTAGACTGAACTCCAAAAGGGCAGGGAATGGGGGTCCAATTTTCTAATTTATCCCACAGAAGGCTGTCTCAGTCATTTGCCTGATGGCTATCACTGGAGGCTGATGCTCCCATGGCTGCCCTTGACCTTCACCAGCCTGTGTGACTCCTGTACCTGTCACTGGGGGCTGTTTACCTGCCACTCATCTAGCTTCCTCCTCGGTTTCAGCAAGCAGGGTTGTTTCATCTGCATAACACAGACTGTTGGTGAATCTTCCTCCAATCTTGATGCTACACTTCTCCTCATAGAGCCCAGCCTCCCAGATAATCTGTTCTGCATATAGGTTGAAAAGGTATGAAGATAGGACATATCCCTGGCATACACTCTTCCCAATTTTGAACCATGCAGTATTTCCCTGTTCTGTTCTGATGACTGCCTCCTGGTCCAAGTATAGGTTTCACATAAGTACAATCAAATGTTCTGGGATTCCCATTCTTCTCAGAGTCAGCCACAGTTTGTTATGATCCACACAGTTTTTGCATAATCAATGAAACACAGGTAGACATTCCTCTGGTACTCTCTGCTTTCAGCCAAGATTTATCTAACATTAGCTGTAATATCCCTAGTACCATGACCCTTTCTAAACCCAGCCTGGACTTCCGGCAGATAGATGTGCTGTTCCAATCGTTTTTGGATAATCTTCAGCAGAATTTTGCTTGCATGTGATATCAATGGTATTGTTCGATAATTTCCACACTCTGTTGGATCACCTTTCTTTGGAATGGGAATATGATATAGAATATAGATCTCTTCCAGTTAGTTGGCCAAGTGGTTGTCCTCCAGATTTCTTGACACAACTTGGTGAGCACATCTAGGGTAACATCTGTTAGTTGAAATATGTCTATTGGTATACCATCAATTCCTGGGGTTTTATTTTTTGCCAATTCCTTCAGAGCAGCTTGAACTTCTTCCTTTATCACTAAGGTGCATGTCTTTGCAATTACTTGCTTTGTGTCAGGGAGCTGGACAATGACTAAGGAGGATAGGAGAATTGATGCCTTTGAGCTGTGGTTTTGGAGAAGAATACCGAATATACATACCATGGACGGCTAAGAGAACAAACAGGTTCATCCTAGAGAGGGTGAAACCAGGCTGCTCCTTGGAGCCAAGGGTTCTAAAGTTTCATCTGACATACTTTGGATATGCTGCAAGAAGGGACCAGTTCTTAGAGAGACATCATGCTTGCAAGGGAAGGGTGGAGGGACAGCGCAGGAGAAGAAGACTCTCTCTGAGGTGGATTGATTCATTGACTGGGGTAATCAGGGTAGGTATGTCAGAGACAGTGAGATTGGCACAGGATAGAACAGGGTTTAGGGCTGTTGTACAAAGGGTCGCTGTGAGTCACAGGCCACTCAACAGCACAAAACAACAACAACAACAGCAACATCTAGCTTGTTTTTCTAATCCAGCCCTTTCCTGATTAGAAAATTATGACTCCAGTGGCCCACTTATCCACCAATCCAAATTGCTGGACTAATTCCAGTCAAGCACAGTGTTTTGAGACTCAAACCCTTTTCCTGCTGACTATGGGTGCTACGTGGATGATCTATAGTGGCCTAGAACAGTGTAAGGAACAGTGCTGCCAGAGCAGAGGCAGGTGGTTTGAATTGACCAGCTGCTTCATGGGAGAAAGATGGACAATCTCCTCCTGTGTGATTTACAGCCTCTGAAAACCTGCTGGGGGCTCAGCTATGAGTTGGTTCCAACTTGAAGGCACACAACACAGATGCTGCAAGCCATGGAGCACAACTCAGTGTTCTCTGCCTTCATGCTGGCCAGACCCTGCAGTGTCTGTCAAGGGTCTACCAGTCTACAAGTGGACATGCAATTAAGCACCTTCTGGGAACACATGGTCATCTCAGGGTCTTGCTGTGATTTCATCTGCACTGTCAAGCTCCAGCGACCACCTCAAAAGTGAATTTCTTTCTTCTTCTATTGAAGCTTCCATACCTTCTCAGCCCAAGGCAGGCTTGGTTAGAAGGGTGTGGGTGGCAGAACAGATTGAACCTTCTATACAGTTCTGGTTTGCTGCCAGGAAACCAAACCACCTCACACACATTGTGGGTGGAAGCATGCGGCAGAGCCCAAACTCCTAAGCCTTTTGCTCAAAGGTTCTTTTGTCCTCCCAACACAGCAAGAGATTTGGAATTTAGGCCAAGAAGGTTCTTCCTTTCAATTTTTTTCTTTTCTTGTTGTGTACTATCGAATCAGATCCAACTGTTACAGTAGATCACCCCTCCTTCTCCAGCAAAACATCTGGTGGATTCGAACCACACGCCTTCGGGATTGCAGCACAGCTTCTTGCCACTAGGCCACCAGAGATCCCTTGGTTCTTCCTTTCTTCCAGGAAGAGCAATGGAGGCAACAGGAAGTAGAATTGGCTGTTGGAGCAGGACTAGACTCCAGGAGGCCCAGCCTTTCCAAACTCCTTCACTCTTCACACGTGTCGTGCCAGTCCACATTTGGAAAACTCCGTTTTGAACATGTTATCAAAGACGAGAGCAAAAACTGTTTATCAATTTCCCCCCTTCTTGTTGGGAAACCATCAGACTCTCTAATGCCTCCTTCTCCGTTCAACTCTTGAAGGAAATCCAACCACAATGCTCCTTAGAAGCGAGGACTGTTAAACTTTGCCTCACTTGCTCTGGGCATATTTTCAAGAGGAATCAGTTCTTAGAGAGACACGCTGGGAAAGATAGAGGGGACGACCCTCAACAAGCTGGATTGACACAGTGACGACCACAATGGACTTGAGCGTGATAGAGATCACGAGGATGGCTCAGGACAAGGCAAGGGTCAAATAGGGTCATAGGTTGTTCACAGGGTCACTGTTAGCAGTAGTCACCTTGACAACACCTAACAAAAAAGTTCAACTCTTTAGACACTACCAATCTTTTTTAAAAAAATTTTATTCTTTTGTGTGTGTACCATCAAATCAGATCTGACTGGTACAGGAGGAGATTGTTCCTCCTTCTCCAGCAAAGCATCTGTTGGATTTGAACCACACACCCCTGGGATTGCAGTGCAGCTTCCTGCTGTTAGGCCACCAGGGCTCACCTAGACACTATCAATCTTTGCATAAACTGCTCCTAGTCAACCTCTCTAGCCCCTTCGCCCAGTGCTTCACTTCAGGCTCCAGCAGGAACAGACTCCTCCAAGTCCAGAGCTGACATAACTCTGGACTCTCCATGTCTGGTTCTGGGTCACACTTTCCCCACTCCGTGTCCAATGTTCTCCTCATTTCCTTTATAGCTTAGTCCCTGTTGACCTGCTTCTCTGCCAACCTCATTAATCATTTCATCCCTCTCTTCCTGATGGGTTCTTCTTTTCCTACCTGCTCTTGAGCTCAGCTAATGCCCAACGTTCCCACTGTGAGTCTCCGCTCTCCCGTGGGCAATCTTTTCTATTCTCAAGATTTAAGCTACTGCCTACATTCGATGGTACCCTAACCTCCAGCCTGAGAGTCTCTCTGAAGCACCAGGTTCAAGGATTCCCAACATCTATCTATCTCACTGACTCCTCAAATGCAATTCCAACCTTTTCTTTCCAGTTAAACACAATGAAGGCCCCAACATTATTTCAATCATACTGATCATTCTAGAATCTTCATTCTCTCCCATTTGCCAAACCCAGTCTGCACTTTTTCTTCTCAAAAGTCTTAAGTCTATCTCTCCTCTCTCTCCCTGTTGCCACTGCCCTGGTCCAGCTGTGTAACACCCTTTGTATGAATAATGGTCACAGTATGCAAACCTATATCTGTGCTGTCTTTCTGGGTCTGTTCTCTACAATCTTGCTAGTACGGTGTATTTCTCTTTAAAATCTGATCGTGGCCCTTCCCTGTTCAGATCTCCTGTCTTATTCCCATGGCCTGCACAGTCATGTCTCAGCTTCCCCGGACCATGCCCTGGACTCCCTGCAGCCTAGATCCTGCCTGAACCTTCTCCAGCTCATCCCTTGCCACATCCTGCCTCCCACTCCACCAGAAGCGCCTGCTGCATGCTTTTCAAGGTCTTGACCAAATGCTATCCTTCCTTCTTGCTTCACATGGCAGACGCTCATTCATTCTGCAAGACTCAGCTTACTGCTCCCCCCTTACGTAAAACAAGGTGACTTCTGTTCATTGCTCCTGCACGCTTGTGGTGTCACATCAATTTGGATTTCCCTTCCTTTAGAAAGTGGGAGCTCTGCAAGAGACTTTTTTTTTGTAATTATAATTTTTTTTATTTTTCACTACAGATTCTTTCAATTTTCCTCACCCCCCCCACCCATCAAATTGTACAACTGCATGGTAATTCATCCCCCACCCTGCCCAGCACATTCTCATCCCTTTTTGCTAGATTAAAAGTAATTCTCATAGTTTCATTAGAAAAATGTAACCTAATGGGGAGCTCTGGTGGCCTAGTGGCAAGAAGCTGCACTGCAATCCCAGAGAAACACGGTTCGAATCCACCAGATGCTCTGCCGGAGAAGGAGGCGCAATATCCTCCTGTACCAGTCAGATCTGATTTGACGGTACACGCACACAAAATAATTAAAAATAAAAAAAAAAAAGAAAAAGAAAAATGTAACCTGTTTGCTTTGTTTCTCTTAATCATTTGTTTAACAATCTGGGCTTTAAACTGCTTATATGTTCAGAGTTACTTTTTATTACCAATTCTTTACAACACACCTGTGGGTTAGTTAAATATGATTATTCACGCAGTACAGATGGTGGGAGTTAGGTATAATTCCAACTAAAAGCTGAACAGCAAAGTCAGGACCAGAATTTATGATTCCCCAAACCACATGTATAGCAGTATATTTCTTTCTTAACTTTACAGCTTCAGCACCAAGACCAGGGCCTGGCGCACAGCAAGGGCTTTGTAAGTGAAGCCACTCCATGCTGCCTACAAGGGGGAGCTTCCGGGACCTCCACGGTGCCTTCTCTTACCTTCCCCAGAGTCCCCACTAGCCTGTGGCAAAGCTCTCTATCTACATCCTCCCTCTCTTGTTATTCTGTCAGCTGCTTGAGGGCAAGAATTTTCATTCATTATTGACTCGACAATGAGCCCACTATTTTCCTCTAGCAAAAACAAATAACAAAGCCCTAGCTCTGTTCCACGGACCTCTCTGGTGGTCTAGTGGTGAGGAATGGTGCTGCCAACCCAAAGGCATGTGGTTCAAATCCGCCAGCTACTCTACAGGAAGAAGAGGTGCAGTCTCCTCTCATGCAACGAATTGCCTCTGAAAATCCACTGGAGGATCAGCTAACGGTAGTTTCTAACTGGATGGTTCAGAACAATGACAGCTCTGTGTCAGCTTGATCCAGGGCCAGCAGAGGGAGCTAGAGAGCCTGTTGCTATGACCAGCTCTAAGGCTGGCCCTAGTCTGGACTGTGGGGTTAAGAAGAGATGGGATACTCACCTCCCAGCACCATTATCTTCTTCCGAGTGTCTTCACTCAGGAAGGGCTTGATGAGGTTATAGGCCACTGGAAACAGTTTGGGGGCTGGAATAGAGACCAAGAGATGAGGTCAGGTCTGTCCCTAGCTGTGGCCGCTTCTCCACAAACTGGTTCATATGTCTTCTGGTGCTGTGGAGCTCGGACAGGAAGCCGAGGTCTCAGTTATGATGGGCCTCTTACTATCCGTACATTTCGTTGAGTTCTAGCTTCCTCATCTATAGCAATGAATAGTCAAACGGTCTTTTCCTATCTCACCCAGCCATGTGGCTCTAACTAGGTGGGTGTTAGTAGCCCCAAGAGACAACTCCGCCCCCTGATGATGACCTTTCAGGGTTCCAATTCTGGGTTCCGATTCTGGAAGCTGATAGCCAGTCCTGTCTTTCAGGTGTCTGTCTGAGTGGGTTTGAAGCAGCAGCTCTGTGGCCCATGGTCAAACACTTAACTGTCCACCCCACCCAGGAATTCCTTCAGGGGAAGGAGTGAACATAACAAGCCGACAGAAGAATGATGCTTTTCAACTGTGAATTGCTGAAGATGAGGCCCTGACCATCCCACGGACTGCCAAAAGGAATAAACAAGTCATTCTGGAGGAAGTGTAAGCAGGGTGGACCTTCGAGGCAAGGATGGTGAAACTCCGCCTCACATACTTTGGGAATGTGATCTGGAGAGGCCAGTCTTGGGGGGGGGCAGTATCATGCTGGGAAAGGTCGAGGGTCAGAGAAAGAGAAGGTGACCCTCACTGAGACGGACTGACACAGGGACCATGACATTAGGCTCTAGCATGGCAAAGGTGGTGAGGACAGGACAGGACAAGGTTCAGACCCGTTGTTCACAGGATCTCTGTGAAGCATAGTTAACTCGATCGCACCTAACAACAGCAGCAACAACAACGTAAAGGGAGCTCTGGTGATGTAGCCCGAGGGAGTTGCACCAAAGTCTTTACCTCTCTGATGGTTCGAATCCACCAGTGGTTTTATGGGAGAAAGATGGGCAAGCTCCTCCTGTGCGATTTACAGCCTCGGAAATCCAATGGAGGATCAGCTACGAGTCGGTTCTAACTCGATGGCAGCAAATTGTTGAGTTTCATAGAAAAGGTTAACCTTCTCAATGTGTCCCACAGGCCCCTTGTTTGGCCTACTTCGTTTTCCTCTTCTTAATCTCCCCAGGAGCATTTGGCCCCTCTTTCTTCCTCAGAGGAGATGCCCAACTTACCTTTAACAACAAAAAGCCGCTTCAATGTTTCAGGATAATTCTCCTCAAACATGCTGAGAAACTGTGGAAAGAAAACCAAGGGTGCCAGCAGGCTCAGACCTCTGCCAGAGAGAGAGGCCCTGCTTCATCTAGGCCAGAATCTGTCCTCATCACCTCTGCCAGGGTAGCCTAGTGTTAAGGAGTTGCGCTGCTAATGCAAAGGCAGGAAGTTCTAATTCACTAGCTGCTCCGAGGGAGAAAGATGGGCAATCTCCTCCCATGTGATTTAAAGCCTCTGAAGGGTCAACTATGAATAAATAACTAGATCCACCCCCCTCCAGCCTTCAGGGCAGCCAAGCAGAAGGGCCCAGCTCCCCAGTCTTCTCTCTGCTCTCCTGCCTGGGAGAACGTGTCCCAGGCCCCTCACCTCTCCATAGGCTTCCACGGCAGGCTTCCAGAGGTGCTTGAGGCCAAGTCCTTCACAGTCATAAATCATGGTAATGGTCTCCACCTTCTTCCCCATCTGAAGGGAATAGAGGAGCAATTTCACCCAGTGGCCCCACAACAAAAACCCACCAGCCCAGATCAGGGCAAATGTCAATCTTGTCACATACTAGGGGGTGCGGGTGGGGGGAGCACAACTAGGTCAAGGCAAGACTGTGTCTAGAGTTTTCCAGACTGAGAGAGATTATCAGCCCGCCGGAACTGTGGCGCAGGCAGCCACTCCTCTTGCTCAGGTTTCCTTGTTCTCATCCACAGCTGGGTAGAGCAAAACTACATCTGAGGTTGTTCCCCTCTTCAGCCTGAGCTGTTGCCTCCTCCCTCAGACTCGCTGAGCACTCCACGGGCAGCGTTCACGTGGGACCTGGTGTGGATACTTTATCTCATGGGCACAGATCTTCTCTGTCCAATCTAAGCCCAGAGGAACTGACCTGTGCCCATGATTTACCAGTCCCCAGATAAATAATAGCTCTCACGGCTCAGCAGGAAGGAGTTGCGCTGCCAACCCAAAGGCAAGGCAGTTCAAATCCACCCACTGCTCCTCAGGAGAAGGATGGGCCGTCTCCTCACGTGCAATTTACAATCTCTGAAAACCCACTGGAGGGTCAGCTGTGAGTCAGTTCTGACTTGATGATACATAACAATAATAGATAGATAAATGAGAGAAATATAATTTACTGAGTTTATTATTAAGCAATATTTCTTCCATTTAAAGGACTGTCCTTTATTTTGAGGTTATACTATTCTTATTTTTTTAATTTTTTTTAATTTTTATTATTTTTGTGTGAGTGTACCGTCAAATCAGATCTGACTGGTACAGGAGGAGATTGTCCCTCCTTCTCCGGCAGAGCATCCGGTGGATTTGAACCGTGCGCCTCTGGGATTGTAGTTGCAGCTCCTTACCACTAGGCCACCAGAGCTCCCCTTATTCTTATTTTTTGAGTGTATGTGTGTGTGTGTGGACTCGACGGCACATAGCAACAACAACAACGTGTGTGGTGTGTGTGTGTGTGTGTGTTAATTATGGCAACAATTGATAGTAATCGTGTTTAATGTTTAAGCCCATGGCAAAATTAAAATTTGATAACATTATGTCCCTCTCCAAGGATGTCATGCTTGGGAGGGTGGAGGGACAGTACAGGAGAGGAAGACCCTCAATGAGATGGATTGATTTCATGACTGGGGAAATGAAGGTATGGGTGTCAGAGACAATAAGATTGGCACAGGCTAGAGCAGGGCTTAGGGCTGTTGTACATAGGGTCACTGTGAGTCGCAGGAGACTCAGTGGTACATGACAACAACAACATTATGTCCATCCCCAAGATGTGAAATGTCTGGTTTATGAAATGCAAAAGTTGGGGTTTCACCCCGAAACTAATGCTTCACTTTCCTCCTATGACATCTCCACCGTGATCTGAATGCCTCCCGAACAGGTTAAGTCATTTTCAACTAACCGGGGTGGTCTGCTCACCTTCGCCGTCTGCCGGCCACATTCTTGTAGAAGCCGCTCACAGTCCCGCATCTTGGTCCTGAGCAGATCCTGTTTGGTGGCTGAGAACAGCAGTCCCTTGGCATCCAGAGGTCCGATGATATCATACCAGACGGGGCACCCATCCAAGTCGTAGCCACACATGCCACCTGACAGGTACTGTTGGACCACCTGCGCAGAGACAGAGAAGCTTGGCCTGCTGGCCCTGGGCACCCTTCCCAGCCTGGAACTACAGGACCTGGCTCTCAAGTCTACTCTTCCTGATGCCCCTCCTCCAGGTGACAATGAATTCCTGGACTGGGAACCATCAGGGCTCACTTGTAATTGCCACACCTTTCTACTGAGAGTCCCTGTTCAAGAGCCCGAAGATGTAGACCGGGGCCTCATCGACCTGGATGGGACCCTGGACAAGAGGCTCCACCCTCACCTCTGGTGGCTGCCAGCTGATGATGTTGTCAATGTCCTTTTGCTTTCGGAACTCCACGTGCTGCAAACATAGGACCAAGGAATGAGGACCAAGAGTGAGACGGGTGAGCACCCCTTAACAGGCATCTGACCACAGGGGGACAATAAGGACAGACTACAGGCAAATTATTCAAAGAACAGGACAGAAGTCATTGTACAAGTCTTGGCAAAAGAGGTGGTAAAATTCTTGACTGGCCCAGAACTCAGAGTTCTCGGCTTCCAGGAGATGGAGTCCAATCTGGACTGAAGGGCTCAGGCGGTATTGGCTGGCAAATGGTCAAGCACTACCTCTAACACCATACCCAACAGTGTGCCTCTGCTGTTCGTGGAATTATCAAAGGCCTATTTTTTTAGAAGTGGATAGCCAAATCCTGCTTCCTAGTCTGTCTTAAATCTGAAAGAGCTGCTGGAACCTGTCCACCATGGATGACCTTGCTGGTATTTGGGATACCAGTGGTCAAACTTCCAGCATCACGATACAATGACTAAGGATGACAGGAGAAGAACTGATTCCTTGGAGTTGTGGTGCTGGAGAAGAATACTGAATATCCCATGGACCATCAAAAGGACAGACAGAGATGTCTTGGCAAAGGTGAAGCCAGAGTGCTCCTTGGAGGTAAGGATTAGTGAAAATTACTTTTTTTTTAAACTTTATTTTATTATTTTTGTGTGTGTGTGTACCGTCAAATCAGATCTGACTGGTACAGGAGGCGATTGCCCCTCCTTCTCCAGCAGAGCATCTGGTGGATTCGAACCGTGTACCTCTGGGATTGCAGTGCAGCTTCTTGCCACTAGGCCACCAGAGTTCTCTGGATTAGTGACATTTCATCTCACATCCTCTGGGCAGGTTGTAAAGAGGGGCCAGTCCTTGGAGAAGGACATGCTGGGAAAGGTGGAGGGTCACTGAAGGAGGACAAGACCCGCAACAAGACAGATGGACATGGGGACTGTAAAGGTGGCCTTGACTATGTCGGAGACAGCCAGGCGGGCACAGGAGAGGGCGAAGTTCAGACCTGTTGCTGCTGTGAATTGTCAGATTGACAGCACTTAGCAACAACAATGCTCGCGCAGGTTAAACAAGCCAAAGGGTGCAATTAGAGTGGACAGGGTCTGCAAGAGGTTGCCCAAGCAAGGTGGGACTCTGACGGGAGAAACAGAGGCCACAGTGGGATGCAGACTTAAGTGGGCCTCACCTTCCGGAGCATGGCCTCTGACTTCTGCAGGTCAAAACTTCTGGCTGTAAAAGGGAAACGTGATCAGGGTCAGTCAGTCAGTTTCTTTCCATGTACAAGAAGAGGAAGGTTTCCCTAGCGGCCAGGGAGGGCCAGCTCCTCTCGGCTGTCATCCTAACCGATTCTGGGACATCCCACAGGAAAACCTGGTGTGAAGACCTTCAGAGAAGGCTTTGAGAGAACTACAGCTGCCACAGTTCAGAGCAGTTGAGGGCAGGATCGTGGCCTCTGGCTCAAAAAAGCTTTATTCCAGCGGATGCAGTCAGGTCAAATGTGAACTCTCTCAGGGAAAGTGAATCTTGGATCCTTTATCAATTGGTTTGCCTCCCTTGAAGCTTATCTCCCTCCCTCCAGTTCTAAGAAATATCAACCCAAAGTCCAAAGACTTTGTTTTGAGCCATTGAGTCAGAGCTGACTCACAGCTGACCCTCCAGCGGGTTTTCAGAAGCGATAAATTACACAGAAGGAGAGCGCCCATCTTTCACCTGAGGAGTTGTTGGTGGATTTGAACTGCCTGCCTTTGGATTGGCAGTGCAACTCATTACCCATTAGGCCACCCGAGGGCACACAGATGAGCATCAATCTGAGTTCACCCCAGCGGGACTGAACCACTTGTCACTTCTGTTACTTCCTCAAGGGATAGAATAAAGAAACACAAGGACCTCTGAGAGCTCCTAGAAGGTTTTAGCATCAAAGTCCACCTGGGCCCATCTTTGCAAGGCCTGCCTGATCTTGAACATGAAGCTCCCACTGGCCCCTCCAGGCTTCCTGCCTCAGCAGCCAGTTCTCACTGTTGTTCTCAACTGGGGGTCAACTCCAGAGACACCCTTGAGAATGTCACATGACAAGTCAAGCCTGCCAATACTGGCCAGATCTATTAGCCCAAGTCTCCCCATCCAATCACACTGCCCATCTCGGATCCTCTCCCCAAACCGCATAGATTGCTTTCAAGTCCATCCTAATATCACTTGCTTTTGGCTGTTTTCCAGTGTGCGAGCAGCCTTCTTAAAGCATCTGTCCAAAGTGTGTACCATCTGCCTTTCTTCAAAAAACCAAACCCCTTTCTTAGCAAGCTGGCACACCTTTAACTCAGGTGGGGCTTAGAGTTAACTGAAACCGCCAAATCCTCTTCACCTGGGCTGTTGCTAAGCCTTCCTTCCCATATATGGAGAGTGCTTTCCTGAACCTTAAATCCATCCCTCTCAAATTTCATCTTGTTAGTCAGCTTCGTTTCATCCTTTAAAGACCTTTCAAGATCCCGATTCTAACCCACATCGCCAGCTGACCTATGAACTGCCCCTCCCAGCCGCATGTCCTTGGTGGATCTGATCAGCGTCCAGATCTGCTGACGGGCCTGAAACTTGGGCCAGCCAGGCTGCCCTCTGGACTGTCACTGGTCCCTTAATCAGGCTGCCCTCTGGACTGTCACTGGTACCTAGGAGTGGCTGAGCACATTCCCTGACTCGGCTGTTGTGAAGTCCTGTCCCCTCTGTGGCCCAAAAGGTGCATCACTAGATATTGATCAAGTGCTACACGTGTCACTGGGAGCAGGGGACACATTTGCAGGTCTCATGAGGTGCCCCTGTAGCCTGATTTCATATGCTATCATGACAGCATGGGGCAGGTTTCAGAGTCATGTAACATGTGTTTGCATTCCAGCTCTTGTATCTTCTGTTTGATGTTGGCCAAGATCCTGACCACCCGTCAGTATCATATACTATGCTCATTAGATGAGACAGACCAGCGTTATGGGAATCCTACAACAGGACGCAAAGCAATATCTCATGAGGGAGCTTGGCTGGACCGTGAACATGGGGCCCTCATGTGGGAACCAAAACACCCCTACAGGGAGGAGATCCCTTATCCTCCAACGGGACAGGAATGGTGAACTATGAGCCCCTTATCTCAGGGGAAGCTCTCCAGCTAAGCTTTATCTGCTAGGGTCCAACATCCAGGGTCTCCCCAAGTTGTCTCTTGCTGTTGGGGTTCCCCACTGGGTTCCTACCTTGGCTGCTGAGTCAGGCCTCCCCAGGGCTGGCTGGAGCAACCCCAAGGGTGGCTTCTGTCCCCAGTTCTTACTTGATCACTCTGTAGTCCTATCAAATGGGATGGGAAGGGTCTACCTCTGTCCCTCTGGGGGTTCCAGGAAATAAAGATGGAAATTAAAAGGGCTTAGTAACAAAGGACCAGTTTGGGAGGTGGGGGGTTCCCACTCCCTCCTTGTTTCATCCTGGATCCTACTTCCTGGGGTTCCCAGAGCTCAGTTCCAGTCAGGGGTGTCAGTGGGGCTTCTGTGCTTGTTCCCAAGGCCTGCAGCTCCCAGAAAACAGCCACATTTGGGGGAAAACATGCAGATTGGGACCTGGCACCCCCACCTAGCTTAGACAAACGTGTTCTGTGGCTGTGAAGCTTGCAAAGATTTCCTTTAGAATCAAAGGGGAAACAGGCGCAGGTCTCTTTTTAAACAAAACAAAACAAAAAAAACCACAAACAAACGGAAAAAAATCCCAATCACCCAACAAAAACCCTCATTGAAATTCACCAAAGGGCCCAAGAAGCTACCGGCCAGGCCTGAGTGCCTGCCCAGGAATCACCCAGAAGCCACACTGATGGCTTCAGAGAACAGCTGAAATTCACTGCAAAAAGTGCTGGCCCCAGGGAGGCTGAGGCTTCAGACCTCATTCTGCTCCTTTTCAGCTGTGTGGCTTCAGCTAAGTGTCTTCCCCTCTCTGGGCCGCCACTGTTTCATCTGACTAATTGAGACTGAAAGTACCCTCAAAATTCCTGTCATGCATTACCCAAGGAGAGGGGCTATCACGGGACCAGGAGGGGATTACCTAAGAGACTAGCAGCTGGAGTTCCAAGTTAGCAATGGCTCGAACAGAAGAGAGCTTAGTATCTATTCCTGGCTCTCTGGACCCCATTTCTTCCTTTAAGGCAGTCCTGCTGTCAGGTTGATCAGCTTGCGGCTGGCCCTTTAAGGAGGCCAGTGCCTTCCCACTCTCTTCCACCCACCCCTTCCTTCCAGCTACAGTCCTTTAGCAAATGCTAGGACACAATTTCCTCCCAGCCCCCCTGGACTAACTGCTGCCACCCCCAAGCTGCCCCTCCACCCTCTGGGCTGGGTGGGTGGGTTTACAGCTTTTCTGAGAAGAGGGAATAGGCAGCACGTGGCTCTCCAGGCTGCACCTGTGCCTGGGACAGGTTTACTTAGCAATTCCCCAAGAGTGAGGGAGAGAGATTCAATTTCCAGGGAGGCCAGGAGAAGAGATCTCTTCGTCCGTGTCCCGAGGCTCCTAGGGAATCTATGCCTATGTTATACATTTGAGTTAGTAAATAATCAGGCAGGATCTGTATTTGATATTTTTGGTGTGTATATAGAGTGTGATTACACAACACACTTTCACTTCTGGAAATTTTCTTAATTACTTCTGTGATAATAAACTTTCTATAAACTTCAAGTGAGAAAAGCCAGAGAAAGAAAGTGACATACAACATGAATGACAAGAGAAGGATGGAGAAAAAATAGGAGGAGTAGGGGTACTGATATTACCTTAATGCTTCTGGAAACAGTGCTTCGATTTATACACAGACATCTGTGCTGTCAATACACAGGGCACACTGTCTGGTCCTGTCTTCCCAAGGGGAAAGGTTAGACCAGCCACAGTAAGCCCAAGACAGGCCTGGACCTGGAACTAAGCATTTCTGGAGCTTGGCCCACAGCTTGAGGAGATTCTTGTCAATGCAGGTCAGGCTGAGCTCCCTTGTTCCTGGTGCACACTGGCCTCCTTCAAGCTGCCTGCACTGGCGCTGGCAGCAGAGGGCCTACTGTCTCCTCGGGGCACAGAAGGTTCTAAACTGGGCTCTGCCGCCAACTTCCCGCACGAGGCCTCTCGCACCTCACTTTTTTCCTCTCCACCCCCTTCCCCAAGTCCATCAGAGACATGGCCTCACTAGAAAGAACTGAGAGTCTGCAGACCTGGATTCCAGTCTTTTCTCTCCCTGGAGCCCACTCACTGTGTGTGCATGAGGGAGTCACCTCACCTCTGTGAGTCGCAGCTGGGCTAAGGTATTTAACTGCCAAGCGCTCTTTGGGGTCTTAAAATGGAAAATTCTAGAGTCTCTGCCTGCCACAGGCAGTGTTTTCCAGAGTGTGCCAGAACAAGCCTCTGTCCCCACCTCCCACTTCATGGCCCCTCGTCCCTCACCTCGGAGCCAGCGCAGGAGGAAATAGTCATCTGGATTCGGCAGGGTGGGCAGTACATCCTGGACATTCTCCCGAAACTGTGGGGAGAGGTACCTGGGTGAGTGGCAGGTCCCACCCTGACTGACCTTTGACCAGGACTCTTCACAGGGGCCTTTGCTGTCCCCTCTTTCACATTATTTAACTCAGCAGACAGTCGTGCTGCCTGGGACCCTCACTGGTGCTGGATAGCAGGGACATAATGGGAAGAGAATTAGATGCTGCTGCGGACCTCGCAGTGTACCCTTCCACGCCCTGGGCTGGTGGGGAGGCGGGCGTGTGCCCAGCTAACTGTGACCGTGGTAATTGGTACAAGCCACAGTAAAAGTTATCATTCGGCCGTGTGCTCTTCACAGCGCCTTAGAGTCAGCAGGCCTCAAGATACCATGATTCCCTTTTTCCAGATGAAGGAAATAAAGCCCAGAAAAGTTGAGAAACCTGCCCAAGGTCACACAGCGAGTAAGGAGCAGAGCTGGGATGCAAAACTGGAGCTATCTGAGTCCAGAGAATACCCCTTCTGTTGTTATCTCCTGCACTCTTCATCTTGGAATGGCTGGGGAACAGAGGAGAAGGGACAGTCAGGAAGAAGGTGGTCTCAGAGCTTCAGATAAAAAGGGGGCATGACCTGGCAATCTAGATGAGTGAGATCACAGAGGTGAAATTCAGGGAGGGCCAAAACCAGGCACTGGGCAGTGACCTCAAGGATAACACACCAATTTCAACACTACACTGTGGCAAGCAGGTCCCATGTACCTTCTCCCAGCCCCCAGCTTCTAGCCACTCACATCCCCTGGTCAGTGACCCCACAGAGGGGACCAATAAGAACTGGCCACTTGTGTCCTGTGCCTAGGTCAACCAGAGATTGAGGGCCCTCCCAACAGCTCCCAGCTGCCCAGGAAAAGAGTTTGTTCAAGGCCCAGGCATGGGGCCACCTCTCACCAAGGACCCTATCCAGCCCTAGGTTCCCATTATAATCACCCTCTAATCCTGCCTGAGTCCCCTGCAGGTCAGCAGCAAACTCTGGAGCCTTCCTCTCTAGTCTTGGGAGTGGGGGGTGGGGGGTGAGGGGAGCTCAGGCCGGACAAAGCTTCCATGGTCCTCAGGGTGCCTGGGCCCTGCTGCACCTCCCTCACCCCCACTCCTTCCCAGGATGGAAAACTGCCCAGTTCTCAAGCCTCCAGCTTTGGCCTCAAGAAGCACCATTCTCCCTCCTCTAAGGGTAACAACCTTCCAATAGTTGTCCCCTCCTCCGCTGGGCCAGCCCAGGTGCAAAGATAAAGCCAGGCTCACCTCTGCCCTCGCAAGAGCATCAGCTCCAAGTGCCGGGTCAGAGAGGGGCTTGAGTTGCAACTTGAGTTTGGGAAGGGGAGGACGGGGGAAGAGGTGGAATTCAGTTCACTCTCACCCCAGCCAAGTAGCGTGAGTCACGCGATCCTAGACTTCAGACACCGAAGCGCCCCGCTTCATCATCTGGTCCCACCTCCTCATTTCGTTGGGAGCACCGACACATACACCCCACCTCCACCCCCAAGCAGGCCAAAGGCTCAGCCCAAGGTCGCAGGGCGATGGGGGGGGGGGCTGGAGCAGGGGCCAGGAGCCCAGGGGAGGGAGCTGTCCGCCCCTTTCCATCGCGCCGCCGCTGCACCGACAGGAGGAAAACCTCCCGGAAATGGGAGCAAACCTGGGGCCCAGCCCCTGCTCCCCCCGGGTCCAGCTGCCAGTGCTCAGGATGAATGTTGCCTTTGTGCCCTGAGCGGCCGCCGAGGGCTTCCAGGCAACCACTTCTCCCCAGGTGGCACCGGCCAGCGCTCGCCGGGGGCCGGGGCGGGGGGTGGAGGAACTTCCCGGGGGGTCCCCTCGGCAGCGGGCGGGGGGGAGGCAGGGGCTTCCGGGGGGCGCGGGCGGAAGGTGAGCGGGCGGTGCGCCCCTGCGGCCCCGGCAGCGCCCGTCCCGCCGTTCGGCTCCTCGGCGCCTCTGCCGCGAACGCCGCTGCGGGCGGAGCCGGGCCCCGCGGGGACGCACCTTGTCCAGGGCCTCCTGCTGCTTGGGGCTCAGGTCGCCGACTCTGCCGCTCATCGTGGCTCGGGCTCCGGCGCGGCGGTTGCTGCAGCTGATGGAGCCGGGGCTCGTTCTCGCCGCCCGAGTCAAGTGCCAGCCTTTTGCCCGGGCCGCGGGGCTGTCGGCCAAGCCCCGCCTCTTAAAGGATCCGTGGGCGGGGCAGGGGGGAGACGCACCCCGCAGCAGGAGTCCGAACCCCGGGTCCCTGATGGCCAGGGCAGCGAAGGTGGCGTCTACGCCCACATTTCCCCTTAACGGTCAGTGTCAGTTTTTAGGGGGAGACCCGAGAGCTCTCTGGGCCTCCGTTTCCCCATCTGAACAACGAAGGGATTGAGTTAGATGTCCATGGACACATCTAAAATCTAGATGTCCATGGACACATCTAAAATCGGAGTCCCCAAAAGGTAGAACCCTTGCCCCCAAGATGGTTAGGAGCTTGTATCCCCAATGCTCCCTAAACCTAGGCATCTTCTGCTTTGGGGGGACTGTGGCATTGGCTTACCCTATGGGGGGGCCTCTTGACCTTCCCATGCCTGGCCACTGGTTTACCAGATGGTTTGCCACGTTTAAGGTCACTGTCTGTAGCAGGTCATAGCAACTGGCAGAGAGCAGGCCAACACGCTGAGGAGGTTAAGAGATGTCTCTGTTTCCGCACCCAGTGTCCTGTCCCCAAACTCCTAAAGAACACCCACCCTGGGTCACCACGGAGGGAGGTGCAGCTCCTCTACTTGGGAAGCAGAAGCTCTGGGTTTGAATCCCAAATCCTCCACTTCTTCTCTTGAGACGGCAGCCTGAGACTTCACCCCTTTAAACTCATACTACCTCACCCTCTAAAGAGGGGTGGTCACCCAGGCTTCTTCAAGTCAGCAGCAGGACGAAGTCCACTCTATCGGCTATAGGGCCATGCCCAGGACAGGCTTAGCCTCAGCTTCCCTGGGCGGTCACAGTGAACATGATGACAGCTATCAGTTTGTCTATCTGCGTCCCCAGCTCAGGCCTCGAGGCCAGGGCTGTGGGCTCTTGTGTGGCTGCTGGTGTTACCTGGGTAGTAGACTCCTGGCAGCAGCCTCCCAACCTGTGCAACCTTCCTCTCACCCTGAGCCCCCGGTCCAGCTCCTGCCTCATCCTTTTGTGGTTTAGCATCCTACGTCCTCTGACTGGATGGATGTCCTGTCATATCGCGCCTACCTTCATGGCAGCATCGCTCACATAACCCCTCGGGCCTTCTTTCCTCCTTCTGTGTGCCAGGCCCTGCATGCTGTCACAGGGACCCAGAAACCAATCCGATGCCAGGCTGCCTTTCCAAAGATAAGACACATCAGCTGGAATACAAAAGTGAGTTTGTTGCGCAAGGAGGAGTGAATCACAGAGGGCTTCAAGGAGGAAGGGGCATTTGAGCGGGGCCTTCGAATACAGCATGAAAGAGCAAGTGTTTGAGCTGGCATTTGATCTGGGCCTTAGAATACAGGATGGAAGAGTGAGGTCAAAGGCAGATTCATTTGTTCCATGCTGGGGGAATAACACAAGTAAAGGTGGATGGGGTGTGAGACCACAATAAGAGAGGCAGGAAGAGAGGATTGGATAGAAAGGAGCCAGAGGACCTTGATGTGGCCCTTCTAGTGGGGGAGCTTCTTGGATACAAGGGCCTTTCTTTCCTCTGAATCCCCACAAGTTCCCTGCCCCAGCCAGCATCCTCCTGTGCACGGTAAGTGTGCACTGCATGAATAAGTGAATGAATGAATGCAAGAGATGCTCTCATAGAAGCAGAGAGGCAGATATGAGGAGCCCAGGAAGGGAGAGTTAAGTCATTCACAGACCATTCAGAGATTGCAAAGCTCGCCTCATTTAACAGCTGAGGAAACTGAGGCCCAAAGCAAACATGGCCTGCACAAAGCTGACACATGGGGAAAGCTATGCCCGCTGTCTGCACGCGGAGGGTGCCTGGTTGTGGAGATGAATACCTATGGGTCTACTACCCCCCAGAGCGTCAGCCCACCCCAACACTAGAGTCTCCAGGAGAGCAAAGGGCAGACACCACCAGCTTCACTCCTCACCTGGAGGCAGTAGGAGGCCGAGATGGACCACAGATGTTGTTATTTGCCATGGAGTCGAAACTGATTAGTAGCTGACCTTCCAGCAGGTTGTCGGAGGCAGTAAGTCAGATAGGAGGAGACTGCCTATTTTTATCCCGTGGAGAAGCTAGCTGGTGGACTTGAACCACATGCCTTAGGGCTGGCAACACAGCTCCTTACCACTAGGCTACCAGAACTCTCTACAGGCCAGGACAAGCCCAGTTAAAATGCTTGGGCCCCATCATCAGATTCTGCTGCACGGCACAGCAGGGGCCATGGACCGGAGGTCTGGGGCCCAGAGACCCGCAGAACATGGCTGCCGTCTTTGCTAGGTCAGGGGCTGAGATGCTGGGTGTGCTTCCAAGGCAGAGCCTACTGAAAGGAAACCAGAACAGCGTACCCCTTACATTTGTGCAAGGAGCAAAGTGGATTACTAAATTGCCAGATTTCTAGATCCCTTTGACTAAAAGAGCACTTCACTTGACAGGTCAATTTCTGAGAGTCCAACTAACTGAAAGGTTGGAGGTTTAAATCTACCCAGAGACTTGTGTTGTGTTGGGCTGTGTACCATAGAGTCAGAACTGACCCATAACTGACCTTCCAGCGGGTTTTCAGAAGCAGTAATTGCACAGGAGGAGATTGTCTATCCTTCTCCGATCTAATTCTGAAAGGCAGGCATTCAAAATCCTATTTGATGCAACTATTCCATTACTAAGGAGCTCTGTTGGCTGGGTGCTAAGGAGTTACACTGCCAACCCAAAGGCACACTGTTCGAATCCATCAGCTTCCCCATGGGAGAAAGAGGGGCAATATCTTCCCATGTAATTTACTGCCTCTGAAAACCCATTGGAGGATCAGCTATGAGTTAGTTCCAACTTGAAGGAATTCCAAAGGTATATTATTATATGCCATTGAGAATGAACTTGACTCACAGCTGACCATCCAGTGGGTTTTCAGAGGCAGAAAATCTTATGGAAAGAGATTGTCAATCTTTCTCTCTTGGAGCAGCTTGTAGAGTCAAACCATGTGCCTTTGGGTTGGCAGTGCAATTCCTTACCGATAGGCCATCATGCACCCTAAAGAAAGAAGACCTTCAACATGAACAGATATATGCACACCCTTGTGTATTGCAGCATTATTTACAATAACAAAAAGATGGGACCAGCTCAGGTGCTCATCGACCCAAGTGCCCATCAATGAATGGCTAGAGAAACCACGGTATGTTCACATAACGGGGTATTATGCAACATCGAGAAACAATGAAGAATTGTGAAACAATACACAGTATGGATGAGTCTACAGAAGATTATGTTTGCTAAAGATGTCAGTCACAAAAGAACAAATATTGCATAAGATCCTGTTATAAGAAGCTAGAGAGTGGTTTACATCCAGAGAGAATCATTCTGTGTGGTTACCAAGGAGGGGAAGTTGGGGTGGAGAAAACCATTAGCTGCTCTGTGGGAGAAAAAGTAGGCAATCTCCTCCCATGTCATTTACTGCCTCTGAAAACCCCTTGGAAGGTCTGCTATGAGTCGATTCTGCCTCGAAGGTAGTGAGTGAGTGATTGAGTGAGTGAAATGCTTAAAATGAAAGAAGGGAAAGATTATGGAATGAATGTAAGATCGGATGTTGCGCACACTGTAACCGATATTATGGAACAAAATGTACATGAATAATTAATTGGCAAAAACCTCAATATGTTTTGTGAACTTTCACTCAAATCATAAATTTAAAGACAAAAAAACCTTATGGAACTCAGTTCTATTCTGACCTGGAGTCTGCCCTTGGGCAACTGGGGCGTTTGGCTCGTCACTTTACAGTTTATAAATTTGAACTCTCCCTTCTCATTTTAAGCCTCTGAGGGTCCCGCGTGCATTCTGGTGATTTGATACAGATGAGGAGATCGTGGATGATTCATGGTCAAGTGAGAGTGAGTGCTAGTACTACACTGAGCCTTGAACCCAAGTGCTCAGAGTACTCAGCTAGCCTGGGACTCCCTAGCAGAGGCTGCCCTCAAGAAAGCAGAGGTTACTACATATCATACACACATCAACCCATCAGGGAATAGACTGCAGCCCCAACTAAGGGCCCTCCCGCCCACCTCCACCCCCAGGAATCTAGAGTTACCCTAAGATGAAACCAAGAAAAGAAACCTTCCCTCCTCTGCCCCTCCTGGAACTCACCCACCTCCAGAACACCCACTGTGGAACAGCTCTGCTAATCTGATAATGTAAATCCTAGACACATAATCTAGCAACCAAGCTGGTTACTAGGGAGAGAATGCCTCCTCCCCGCCCCCACTCCTTCCTTATCCCCAGCAACTCTCCCTCTGGGGGGAGAGGTGCACTGCTCGCCTGCTCAAGAATCAATCATGACTCCCCAGTTCCTTCCCGAATCTGCCCAGTCCCGCTCAGTTAGGCTCAGGTCCTACCTCCCTCTTGTCCTAGCAGCCCCAGTGGCTTCAACTGCTTCTCCAAGGACAGAGAAGTAGCATGCTGTGGTCTAGACACAGCCTCGTTTAGGGAGCTCTGATCACCCAAGTGGATAAGGAGTTGCACTGCAGGCAATGGGCATCCGCCAGCCAGCTGTTCTGTGGCAGAAAGATTATTACCTTTCAAGCATCCGAGCAATTAACTGACTCGGAAAAACTGCTGGAGGGTCAGTCATGAGTCAGTTCCAACTCAGAACAACTGTCCGCTTACCCTTAAGGCCTTGATCCAATGAAATGAAAAGGTGATGACAAAGTTTGCAAGAACTTTACCCTGGTCTACCTACCCAACCCCACGTGACCTCCCCCTACCTCTCTCTCCCAGCAGGGGAGATGGAGCGCTGATGTTCCACCCCAGCCCCAGAGTTAAAAGGCTTAAGGGCAGGTTCGGAGTTGATTACTAAAGACTGGAGGAGAAAGCTGGCGAGTGTGAGCTTCAGAAGGCTCCTGGAGGAGTGTGGGTGATGGTGATGGTCTTAGTTTTGGGAGCTAGGACTCCTGGTCCGAAGGCTTGGATTATCCTGCAGTTACTGTTACACCACCAGCAGACAGGCATTGTGAGTAGAGAATTGTGCTGTTAACCTGAAAGTGGCTGCCTC